AAAAGAAACCACAAAAAAAAAAAATATTTGCCAATGATGCATCTGATAAAGGTTTAATATCCAAAATATATAAGGAACTCATACAGCTTAACAAAACGAAGACAAACTACCCAATTTTAAAAATGGGCAAAGGACCTAAATAGATACTTTTTGAAAGTGGACATACAGAAGGCCAAGAGACATATGAAAACATGCTTAAAGTCACTAATCATCTGAGAGATGCAAGTCAAAATGTCAATGAGGCACCATCTCACACCTGTCAGACTGGCTATCATCAACAAATCAACAAATGACAAGTGCTGGTGAGGATGTGGAGAAAAAGGAACCCTCTAACACTGCTTGTGGGAATGCAGATTAGTGCAACCACTGTGGAAAACGGTATGGAGTTTCCTCAAAAAACTAAAAATGGAACTCCCATTTGACTCAGTAATCCCACTTCTAGGAATATATCCCCAGAAATCAGAAACACTAATCAGAAAGGATATATACACCCCTATGTTCATAGTAGCACAATTCACAATAGCTAACATTTGGATACAGCCTAAATGCTCATCAGCAGATGAGTGAATTAAAAAATGGTGGTACATCCACCCAATGGAATACTACACTGCTGTAAAAAAGAAGGCCTCTTACCATTTGCAACAACCTGGATGGTCCTGGAAAGCATTATGCTAAGCAAAATAAACCAGTCAGAGGAAGATAAATGCCACATGATCTCACTCATTTGTGGAATATAATGAACAGCATAAACTGATGAACAGAAATAGAGACAGAAAAAATTTTTTAGAATATAATAGAAGTAATCCTGTTATTTGCAGATTTTTAATATTTCCTACAACTTTTGTGATATACTATGTTAGTACAGCTTTGGTAATATTATTATATTTAAAATCTTTTTTTCTTGAAATGTTAATGTTTATTGCATGTAATATTATATTTAAAATCATTTTTCTTGACATATTAATGTTTACTGCATGTAAATGGCTAATTATTTTGTATCTACAATCTGATAATAGATTTATTTTGTATATTGTAAATAAATAAATGAATAAATAAATAATAAAATAAAAAATTAGAAACCAACTGATTACTGCACCCAAGGAGGCAGGGGGAAGGGGGGAATGACAATGAGTTTTCACCTCATACCTGTCAGAATGGCTATGATCAACAAATCAACATATGACAAGTGCTAGGAAGGATGTGGAGAAAAGGGAATCCTACTATACTGCTGGTGGGAATACAGACTAGTGCCACCATTATAGAAAACAGTATGGAGTTTCCTCAAAAAATTAAATATGGAACTGCCATTTGACCCAGTGATCCCACATCTAGGAATATATCCTAAGAGACCTGAAACACCACATTTGGATACAGCCTAAATGCTCATCAGCAGATGAGTGAATTAAAAAATGGTGGTACATCCACCCAATGGAATACTACACTGCTGTAAAAAAGAAGGCCTCTTACCATTTGCAACAACCTGGATGGTCCTGGAAAGCATTATGCTAAGCAAAATAAGCCAGTTAGAGAAAGACAACTATTACATGACCTCACTCATATGTGGAATCTAATGAACAAAATAAAGTGATGTACAAAATAGATCCAGAGACAGAAGGATGGAACAAACTTTGGAATCTCAGAGGGAAGGCAGGGGTGGTTGGGTGGTTGTGAATTGATTAACCAAAGAACTTGTATGCATAAATGCATAACCCATGGACACAGACAATAGGGTGGTGAACACAGGGGACAGGAGATGGGGGCAGGCTAGAAGGGGTCAATGGAGGAAAAAAGTGGACATATGTAAGACTTTCAACAATAAATATTTAATTAAAAAATAAATAAAAAACACATCTTCCTCTTATGTATGGTGCCAGGTGGGTACTGGAAATATCAAGGGGTATATTTTGTAAACTATATAATTGTCTAACCACTATACTTCATACCTGAAACTAATACAAAATAATATTGAAGGTAAACTTTAATTGTAAAATAGATAAAATCAAATCCACGTTCTCCTGATTAAAGCTATGGGGAGGACTTGAATTTTATTCAGAATTTCCCCTGTGCTTTTACAAAATGCTGAAATGTTTTAAAAACAATTTTTATTTTATTTCTCTTCTTTCATCTTGTGAGTTTATTGACTTTGCTGCTCTTCATTCATAAAATAATTCTTACCTGCTTAGGCTATTGATTGATTGATTTGAAAGAGAAATATGATCAGGGGAAAGGTCCCGGTCTGATGTCTGAGGTTCTGGTCTTGGCTCGGCTGCTAATGAACTGTAAAACCATAAGTAAGTTACTCCTTTGGGCCTCAATTTTCTACAGTTACAAAGTGAGAGAGTTAGAAAAAGATATTTGCCTTTCTGAGTTTAGGAATTCTATGTGTCATACTGCATAATTCCTGACTTCTATTAGCTTGGCCTTCACCTCCACGTTAGGCTAACAACTCTGGTGTAGAAGTGACCAGAGACTAAATGCCAGGCTGTAGCTTAATATGTGAATGCATTCATTAGCCAAAGTCAATTTATGGAGCAGAAGTGCTTGGATTCTTAATTTTTAATACCTTAGAAAGTTTAGTTCTGATGTTAATCTCATTTAGATCTCTTCATTTTACACAGTAATGAATTAGCAGTGAGCTATTTTCATGTGGTGGAATTCAATCAATCTAAATTAGATATTTCATTTTAGGACAACATTTCAAATTCCTTTCCCATGTAAGCATTTTTCAGCAGCCCTAGAAGTATGGATACCCAAGTCCTCTCTTTCCTTTTTTCCCCTGACCTCTTGATGATGGTATAGGAAATGTAGATATTCTCAAAGTCAGAAATAAGTGGTCTACCTAAATCACCCATCCCTGGATTATTACCAGCTGACCTGGAGTCTACAGTAACAATTTTCCTTATGCTCATTATGACACTGGAAAAATGACTTCTCTTCTCAGTTGCTGTTTCTTACTTACCAGCCCATTAAAAAATACTTTGTTGTTGTTGTTGTGACTATTGTGATGTATGCTCCACTGAGCTCTATGGCTTTAATTTTGTCCCCTTGCCCCCAATCAGTCCCAAATAGCTCTACTGAATTAGCTCCCAACCAAACTCTGATTGCATTGTTATTCTACTCTTTAAACGCTAATGATTTTTCTTTTTATTTTCTTTTTTATAATTTTTTATTGAATTTATTAAGGTGACATTGGTTAATAAAGTTATGTAAGTTTCAGGTGTACAATTCTATAATATGTCATCTGTATATTGCATTGTGTGTTCATCACCCAAAGTCAAGTCTCCTTCTGCCACCATTTATCTCCCCTTTACCGAGTCTACTTTCCCCCACACCCCTTTCCCTCTGGTAATCACCATACTGTTGTCTGTGTCTATGAGGTTTTTTTTTTGTTTGTTTTCTTTCTTCCTTTCTTTCTTTCCTTCTTTCTTTCTTTCCTTTCTTTCTTTCTTTCTTTCTTTCTTTCTTTCTTTCTTTCTTTCTTTCTTTCTTTCGCTTAATCCCTTGACCTTTTCCATCCAACCTTTCAAGCCCTCTCCCTTGTAAAACTCTAATGATTTTTCATATAAACATTAACTGCCACTCCAAAGTTACTATGTTTGTGGTCATCCCGTGAGTACATCTCACTGAACCCAAATGAAGAAATTCCTATGCCATTTACTCCAGATTACCCATATAATTGTTCTTAAAAATCTATTCTTGAGGGATACTGGAAAAAAGTAATTGGTTGTGCCTAATGTGCCTGGGTGCCAGGACAGATACCACAAATTCCTTCATTGTTATTATTATCATGTTAATTGTTAACTGTTAACTATCCTGCACCCATCAAAGTATGTGTCTATCATTTTTCTTTTTATCCAAACCCAGAGGTTTCCCCGCTTTGCTTTCTCACTCCTTTCTAGCCTATCACCAGTGGATTTCATGTAACCCACCTCCGTCTCCTCCTTTGATTGCAATGTGTAAAAATAGATGAGAAACCACCATTCTGGAGCATTATCCCAATCCATTGAGATACTGCTTCCCAGAAATTGTTGACAGTTTGACTCAAATAAACTCACAAAAATTCTTTACAGGTTTTAATGTTTTTATGTTAACAGCTCAGGAAAAGAAATATCACAGTGCTGGGCACAAAGTTAGCACTATATAAGGATAAGCCATTACTATTGTTGCTGTTATTATTTCTACTAGAGGCCTGGTGCATGAAAATTCATGCACTGGAGGGGGTGTTCCTCAGCCCGGCCTGCCCCCTCTCACAGTTCGGGGGCCCTCAGGGGTGGGAGGCGACCTGGATATCAGGGGAAGGCAATGCCCCATCACACCTCTGCTGCTGCCACTGCCGGCAGCGCAAGCCTTGGCTGGCCCTGGTTACCTGAGCCTTGGGGTGGCCCTGGTACCTGAGCCTTGGGCAGCCCTGGGTGGCTGGGCAGCTGCCATCCAAGGCTTGCCTGCACCTCAGCTGGCCCTTGGCACTTGGGGGCGCTGAGGGGACTGGGCGACTCCAGAGGCAGGCGCCTGCTGCACGCCTGCCACCCTGGTGAGGCTGAGGGGACTGGGCACAGCCATCTTGTGGCTGTGGGCGCTGCATCTTTGAGGGCGGGGCAGTCAATCAGCATATTCCCTCCTGATTGGCTGTGGGCACCACCATCTTTGTGATGGCCCAAGAGTCAATTAACATATTCCCTCTTTATTAGATAGGATTGTCTGTCATGGTCCAAAGTTTGAATTACAGTTACTTTTTTGGGTGTCGATTGTCTCTATTTCTGTACTAGAATGTGAGCTCCATGCGTTAGGTATTTCTGACTGTTTGGTTAACTGAGAGCTGCAGCTCTGAAACAGTGCCTGGCACAAAGTAAATGCTCAATAAATATCTGTTGGACAAATGGAAAAAAAAAACAGCTTGGTTGTGTAATTGCTGATCTAGGGTTTAAATGCTGTCTACACTGCTTCTCTGCAACCTTGGTTAATGTGTTCAATTCCTGTAAATGGGAATAACACCTCCTTAGAGAATGTTCCAAAAACACATGCAAAGCACTCAGCATCCTGTCAATAGTGGCTATGATGACCCAGCCATGATGAAGACGATCCTAATTATTTGTAGGCTAGCAAGAATGGGACATTGAGAGCTACTGACCTCAGTCACCAAACTGCACCCCTTCCAGCTTTCCTGTGCCTTTGGCTAATATCTGCTTTTTCCTGGGCGGGTATGGGGCCCTCTGTTTCACTTGAGAACAGAGCATTCCTCCTTCAAATGGCTGGAGTATCTTTATTATACACATGACCAGCACTTTATCTTATTTTTAAAATGTATTATTGTAATAAGATATATAGAACATAAGATTTACCATTTAACTATATTCAGTGTCCAGTTCAGTGGCATTGAGTACATTGACATTGTTGTGCAGCCATCACCACTATTCATCCTCAGGTATTTTTCATCTTCCCAAACTGAAACTCTGTACATATCCTATCTGATAAAGAGGGAATGTGCAAATTGACCGTCATGCAGTCACAAAGATGTCAGCACCCATAGCCATAAGATTGCGGCGCCTAGTCCCCTCAGCCCTGGTGGAGTCCCCCAGTCTTTTCAGCCCCACCAGGGGATGGGGGGTGGCAGGTGCACAGTGCGGCCGGACCCGCCCTCAGCCCCCCAGCCACCTAGGGCTGGCCTGAGGTGTGGGCAAGCCTCGGATGTCAGCTGCCCAGCCGATGCTGGAGGCACAGGCAAGCCTCCGATGGTGGCTGCCCAGCCGCCCAGGGCTGCCCGAGGCTCAGGTAATCAGGGCTGGCCAAGGCTTGTGCTGCTGACATTGGCAGCAGCAGAGGTGTGGTGGGGGTGTCACCTTCCCCTGATTGCCGGGTCACCCCCCGTCCCTGAGGGCTCCTGGACTGTGAGAGGGTGCAGGCCGGGCTGAGGGATCCCCCCCTCCAGTGCATGAATTTTCATGCACTGAGCCTCTAGTTAAATAATAACTCCCCATTTCCCCCTCCCCTCAGCCCCTGGCAGCCACCAGCTTTCTATTTCTATGAATTTCACTATCCCAGGTATATCATATAAATGAAATAATATAATGTGTCCTTTCATGACTGGCTTACTTATTCATCATATCCTCAAGGTTCATTTATAATGTAGCATGTGTCAGAACTTCCTTCCTTCTTAAGGCTTACTAATATTCCATTGACGTATGTAACACATTTTGTTTATTCATTCATTTGTTGATAGACATTTGGGTTGTTTCCACCTTTTGGGTATTGTGACTTGATGATATTTTTACATTCTGCAGCAATTTATACCTTTATTTGCAGACATATTAAGTTTCATCACACTAATATACTGAATACCAGGAAAAGAATTATGAAAGAATTTTTATTTTATTTTTGGCCATTTACTCATTTTTTGGCAGCCACAAAGACTAAGGTTTCTAATTTTGCACTGTGATAAGTAGACAATGTAAGCCATTTACCTTTTTTTCTGTTTTCTTTTCCTAAAAATACTATTTTTAGAAAAATAGTATTTTCTAATATATGATCATGTCAGTTTAATCTTTTTTTATAAATGATAAGGAGAGCAGACAAAAGGATAACATAAGAATTGGATACTTAGCTTTAAAAGTATGAGAAAAGGCAATAAATGGTGTGCCTTTTCCCTTCCCAAGTTCTGAACCATTTATGAGACAGACCATTAAAGAGTGTGGCACATAGCCATGAGAATATTATTTTTATTATGAACAAAGCTGATTTTGGAGAATGCAGCTAATCACTATTTGTGGGCAGATGGCTCTCCTAATTCTGCATCCCAGAATTAGGCAGATCTACCCAGCCATTCACAGACAATACTGGCCTGAGATAGCTCTTTTGCAGGAAGTTAACAATTTCAGCTGATGTGTTCCGATGAAATGCTTGTCTTTTATACCCGCATCCATTTCTCTCCCTTGGCACTTGTCACAGTGTATAGCAATGGAATTTTTAACTTTCTCTGTTCCATGAGCATGTTTTATTCTTCCTGTCTTCTACTCACTCAACTGGTTTTATTGAGTACCAATTGGTGGCCCAGCAATGAACTATGTCTCGAGCACATGGCCTTACAGAGGTAATAGAAGTTGAGCCCTTACCCCAAAGGAGATCAGGGTAGGTAAATATTGTAAAGGAAACAGAATGCTGTTAGACAATAAGACAGGAGGAACTACTTAACAAATCAAGGAGCAAAGGCTTTTCTGGGAAAGTGACATTTAAGATGACACCTCAAGACCAGTGCCTTACCAGGGAGTGCCTCCCCACTGCATTTATACTCTGGTGTCTAGTTGAGACCTAGCACATGGTAGAGCTCAGGAAATGCTTAACAAATTGATGAATGAGTGACAGATATGAAAACACTTTACATGCTATAAAAGTAGTACAGAAATATTAGTATCAATTTGTTGATATGGGAATATCTACTTTTATTCTGTTTCTTTGGGACACCCTGCAGGAAGCTATCCATTGTCAAACACTATCATGAAAGTGCAACAAGGAACCCAGAAGGCTGATGAACCTTGAGCTTTAGCAAGGGCTAAAAGCTATGCATCGATTGTTCTGTTGAGATAGTGGTGGCTCAAGCAATTTCCTGACCTAATAGTCTCAAAGTAAACCTTTAGTAATATTTACTGAATTTTGAGATAGTCTGTCTGCTACTGGATTGCTGTGCCTAACTGAGGGCAAGATGTGTATTCTAAAATTGAATAAAAGCTAACAGGTCCAGGGCTTCAGGAGCCTCTCCACTAGAGAAAGGTTTCTGCCTGGCCCCCATGCCTTCTAAATTCATATTTCTTGTCTAGTGTCTTTATTTGTGTGTTGGCCCCTTTTCCAGATCCCGACTCCTCACTGAAAAAGGTTGTGGCATCTGGTGCCCAATGTGGGGCATCTGGAGAAGAAGATTCGCCTGAGCGGAAAAACGAAGAAAAAAGGAAATTCACCAGAAAGGTGGGAGGTTCATCGAAAAGGAAGGGAAATTCACTGCGCACAAAGCCCATTCCAGCTTTGGAGTCACGAACCATAAGTGGGCAGAAACATCTTTTATTTCAGCCAGGCTATAATGGGGAAGAATTTGAGTAAAAGGCAAAAACATCATTGTAAATTTTTAGCTTGCATGCTCAAGGATAAAGGAATTAAAATGTCAAAAAGTACTCTCTTAAGTCAGGCTCAAGGAAGATGAGTGCCCCTGTCATCTTTAACTATGTGGACTCTTGTTTGAACTGCATTATGCCCAATTAGTATTGGGGATCAAAAGTCTGTAATACCTAAGGCCCCGGATCCTCTGCCTCTAGTGTGGAAAGGCTCAACAGCTAGAAAAAATTGGGCTAACAGTTCTTTTACAAAAGAACTCCTTAATGCTTTGTCTGAAAATTACCATACAATGCCCTGGGACAGGCAGATTTTAGCTAAAACAACTTTAGATGCCAGTCAATGCTATGGAGAGAAGAATATGATAAAATCTGTGAACAACAGGCTGCGATCTAGGCTGCATTCTGGCTGTAAGTCCCAGGCAATATAAAACATCTGAAAAAAATCCATGAAAAGAACTCTCATTTATTAAGTCTTGTCTATGTGTTATGGGCGCTTGTCTATTGATTGTTGTTTTATCTGTCTTTGTTGTTTGGTTTAATTGTTTATTGTTAGTCTATTAAGCATGCCTTTAATTTAATTTAATAGAAAAGAAACAGTAAATGGTCAGGCCATTACTAAATTTCCCCAGAGCAAACAGAATGTGGGGCTAGGGAGAGAGAGAATATGAGTGGTACACGTGGCCAATAACACAAGTTCTAAGAAAATTCCCTAGACAAAGGGAAGTAACTAAAAAAGGCCACAGCCCATTAATTACTAGGTCCTTTGGTGATCCTGTAAAATGGATGCCCACTCCCAGAGTGCTATTAAAAGTCTCATTTTTTGCCATATTTTTTATTTCCCAGTCCATCATTTGAAATTTGGATAGATGAAACATTTCTCACAATTTAGGGATGCATCTGGGATTTCTGTACCCATGAAGAGAAAAAGGCCAGCTTAAGAGAAGGCGCACCCTGCCTGATTTTGGGTGGCCACTTGGACTGAGCCCCATCTCTTCACGGATGCTATAGAATAAACCCAAGACTGTTGTACTTTAAAAGATGGTGAAAATGACACATGGAAAATATACAGGCTGTGTTTGGGCAATAGAATTAATGTTTCCATAATAATGGATAATTCTTGAATAATAATGTACTACATTCCAAGGTTGACTCCCAAATCTTGGGGGCACTCCTGTTTTTATAAAATAAAATAAAATAATACTTTAACATTAAAGCAACTGAAAGTCAGTAAGTTATCTCTGTTACAAAATTTGCCAAAGAAAATGCCTTGGATAATAATAATTGGCTTTAAAATCTCAAAGTTGTTAAAACATAAATAAATAGATGTAACTAAAATAAATAATCCTATCTAATAATAGAGAAATGGCGGCCGACCAGGCAGCTTGAAGCGAACAGGAGGCTTGCTTGCTTCAGTGACGGAGGAAGCCAACGTTCCCCGCCTGCCTTGCAGGCCGCCTAGCTTGCAGTATGAAACGTTGTTACAAATATAGAAGCTAAACAAAACCCCAGAAACCTGCTTTCAGCCAGCCGGGATCTCAGAGCTGGAGTTGAAACAGTGTTTCGATTATAGAACCCAAACAAACCAGATACCGGCTTTCAGCAGCCGAGGCCTAAGAGCTGGAGCCAAGCCTCAGAGCTAAAGCTGGCCCAGAATAAAAAAAAAAAAGAAAAAAAGGAGCGGTTGGGAGCTTCAGTCACCCGCCAGCCTGAAAACGGCCCTCAGCCCCTCACCCAGACTGGCCAGGCACCCCAGTGGGGAC